TTTTTTAAATAATTAATATAACATTATATTTGAAGGACTTACTACATTTATAGAGGGACTATGGGACGTACTAGTAGCGTGCAACAATGATGCGCAACATAGTACTCGAAACAAAATTCTGCTCTTTTCAAGAAGTGACAGTGAGTGAATAAAAAATATTGAGAACACATTTAAAAAAATTCACGGCTATATAAACCTTTGAAAAAAATACTTTTTTTTTTTAAACGCATGTCTATATAAAAAATATTCTTCAAATCCAACACGCCTTTTTTAAGTCCTTAAAAATATTCATCAAATCTAACACGTCTTTTTTAGTCCTTAAAAAATATTCTTCAAACCCAACACGCCTTTTTTAGTTCTTAAAAATATTTTTAAAAAATCCAGGCCTTTTTTAGTTCTTAAAAAATATTCTTTAAAAAATCCACGCCTTTTTTTAGTCCACGCCTTGTATTAGGCCTTGACAAAATATTCTTTAAAAAAATCCACGCGTTTTTTATTCCACGCCTTGTATTAGGCCTTGAAACAATATTCTTTAAAAAATCCCCGCCTTTTTTCGACCACGCCTTGTATTAGGCCTTGAAAAAATATTCTTTAAAAAATCCACGCCTTGTATTAGGCCTTGAAAAAATATTCTTTAAAAAATCCACGCCTTGTATTAGGCCTTGAAAAAATATTCTTTAAAAAATCCACGCCTTGTATTAGGCCTTGAAAAAATATTCTTTAAAAAATCCACGCCTTATATAGGCCTTGAAAAAATATTTTTTTAAAAAATGCACGCCTTATATAGGCCTTGAAAAAATATTTTTTTAAAAAATCCACGCCTTATATAGTCTTTGAAAAAATATTCTTTAAAAAATCCACGCCTTATATAGGGCTTGAAAAAATATTCTTTAAAAAATCCACGCCTTATATAGGGCTTGAAAAAATATTCTTTAAAAAATCCACGCCTTATATAGGGCTTGAAAAAATATTCTTTAAAAAATGCACGCCTTATATAGGTCTTGCAAAAATATACTTTAAAAAATCCACGCCTTATATAGGTCTTGAAAAAATATTCTTTAAAAAATGCACGCCTTATAAAGGCCTTGAAAAAATATTCTTTAAAAAATGCACGCCTTATATAGGCCTTGAAAAAATATTCTTTAAAAAATCCACGCTTTGTATTAGGCCTTGGAAAAATACTATTTAAAATATCCACGCCTTGTATTAGGCCATAAAAAAATATTCTTTAAAAATTCCACGCCTTGCATTAGGCCTTGAAAAATATTCTTTAAAAATTCCACGCCTTGCATTAGGCCTTGAGAAAATATTCTTTAAAAAATCCACGCCTTGTATTAGGCCTTAAAAAAGTATTCGTTAAAAAAAAATATTCTTTAAATAATTCACTCATATTGTAGCCCTTGAAAAAATATTCTTTAAAAAATCCCCACCTGTATGAACCTGAGAAAAAGTATTTGTTTCGCATTAGGAATCCCTAATTAATTATTATTTCCTTTAGTTAATATTCCTCATACGCTCCCAAGAACTCTATTCCTATAACTCATACGCTACCAGTTATAAAATATAAAATCATCTCTTGACAATATATTTTTATTTATTATTGATATAAGACTATCGAAACGAAATCAAATAAATTTAAATAAATACTAGACTATTGACAAATTTTTAAATGATTCTCATCTCTCTCCCCGCCCACAAAAACAATAAACAAATAGTAAAGAAGCACCTTTGTCTTTGAGCTTAAATTAATTTACATATGAATGCAATTGAATAGTTCCAATGCACACAGGGACAGACACAAGAGTGTACACACGCACACACACTTCGACTTTCTCAATTACAAAAGATTCGAGAACATTACCAATTACTTTTCATAATCTTAAAAGTGACACCCCAGTTAAGTTAGGTATGTACAAAAGAATGGCAAGTACAGAGAGAGGGAGATGTGTACACACACACACGTACACATGCATTCGCAGAGGGAAAACACGTCAATAACATAAAACAAACCCCCCTCCTTTCAATACAAACAATTTTCCTGTCGATGGTGTGTGTGTGTGTGTGTGCATCCGAGCTACCATCAGCAGCTTCCAATGACGTCAGCAAATGTGTGTGTAGTTGTAGAGGTATTGTATTTGTTGTAATAGTATTTTTGGGGGAAGATACACACACACACATAGGGAGATACACAATACAGTGCCGAAGGCTGCTGGCCCATAAACACCCACTAAGGAATTCATTGAGTAGAGATAGATCCTCCAGCTCCTTGTCTCCACCAGAGGATAGATAGACATACAGGCGAACTTCTTATACTTATGGTCTGTGTAATATATAAAAATCTTAAGAAATTTATGAGTTCTTACTTTGAAAGGTTTTTGAATAGAATTTAATAGACAATCGTAGCATACAATGATGTAGCCGAAAACGACGAGGCTACTGATGGCGGAGAGAAGGCGAGAGAGAAATGCAAATAGTGCAATTCTGCAGTTGAAGGAGTATTGAGTTGCGCGCTATTGTGGTTTAGTCCTCGCAATTCATACAAACATATATTGTTGTCATAGCCTTTGTGTAATTGTAATCAGAATTTGAGGAAATTATTTTGAATTGCATTAAAGACGTTTTTATTTCTTTGAATTCAAAATTTAATCAAGAATTTTATTTATAAATTTTTGAAAAAATATTCTCAAAAAATCCACGGCTTTAAAAATCTTTAAAAACATATTTTAAAAAATCCACGGCTGTATAAATCTTTGAAAACTTATTTTTTAAAAATCCACACCTTTATAAATCTCTGAAAAACTATTTTAAAAAAATCCTAATACGTAAATTTTTTTAAAATATTTTTGGCTTTTTTATATTATTTTCTAACTAATGTTTTTCTTCTCTTTTTTCTTTCAGATTATAAAAAATTTTGGCAAATTGTTCAGTATTTACCTATATAAGCAACAAATTTAGATAGAAGACTTAATTTATATGTGTTTGATGCCCTCAAGAAAGCAACAACAACAACAAATTTACCCAATTAACAAACAACAACAATAACAACATAACAATTGTAGCATCTTTAACCTGAAAGCGTTTCTTTAAAAAAAATCCCAACAATATTATTACATTCCTTTTCAAATTATTATTATAAGAATATTCGTTTAATTTACTATAACATTTCATCATTCTGACCGGCCGAACTTTAACACACCATCACCATTCTCATCACATTGGATTACGCTCAGTTTTATTTTTGTCCAGAGCCAATTAGTGGCATCAACAGACCGCAATTACAATTTTTACAAGCGCCAGCGCCATCACCGTCGTCGTTCTACAATTTGGCCAACAGCAACAACAACCTCTGTAACAGCCAGACTTACAACAACAATTGTTTTCACAACATCAACAACATTGCGCAACCAGCCGCCCATCGTTCATCTTTACTTTGTCAGCAAGACGATACAACAACGCCACCTACATACTACAATTACAACTACAATTACATCCATCAACAGCAACAACTGCAGCAACAACAGCAGCAGCAACAACAACAGCAGCAGCACCATCACCATTATAATCCCTTTTTAAGTCCCCAGCTCAGCCATCATCTCCAGCAGACCCCACCACTACCACCTGCCCTACCACCACCGCCACCAACTCCCCACCTGCCGCATCTCTTCAAAAGCAGCCACAACACCAATCCGTTCTGCGGCAGTGTCAGTAGTAGTTACCACCACCTGGGAGGATCGTCGGGTGGATTTGCAGGTCTAGGACTGGGTGGCCTGGGTGCTCTAACAGGCGGTGCAGGCGGAGGTTATACACCTTTGGGTCGTAGCTACCGTTACTACAAACATCACTCCACCGGGGGTCTAGGCGGTCACAGTAGTTACAACGGTTACTATAGCTTGAGTTTTGGCGAGAGTTATTATCCCTATAGCACACCCGGAGGCGTTGCTGCAGGTGTCCTTAGTCAGAGTGGTAGCAGCGGTCTGGCTCCACTAAGCGGCGGTAGTGGCAATTATTTTGGTCGCATCTCACCGGCAGCAGCTCATACGGGCCCTCTCCTCGCGACATCGGCGGCAGAAACTCGTAGCAGTCTCTTGAAGTTAGCTTCACCCACCCCGCCAACAGCTTCATTAGCTCCACCACCACCCCCACCCCTATTACCACCCTTAGATGACGATCTGCAAGTGAGCACCGAACCTTACTTGTCGACATATTCCAGGCCCATCGATTATATACCCTCACCACCGGCCTCGTTACGTTCGGAAACCTACGCCTATCGGCCACCGAGTAGGCGTCGCGAATCGGGAAGATATTCGGCCACCGGCTACTACACACGCCAGAGAGCCCGTGGCTTTTCGCCGATTATCGACTGTGATCGTTATCTGGATAGTGAGTTTGTGGGACGTGGTCGTCGTCGCCATCGTACCAACAGCCTACAGAGTACTTGTGATCTTGGCCTATCGCCGTTTACGCCCATCGATCGATTGTCGCCCATACGACACTCGACGTCGGCGTCACCTCGTCAACAGCGCGAGAAATATTTATCTCCAGGCGGGAGTCCAAAATACAGCAGCAAAACGTCGTCCACACCACAAGCGTCACATCACCTCGAGTCTCAATACCATACTCAGGTCGACCTGCCACCAACAGCGCCATCAGATCCATCATCCGCCGTCACCGGCCACTATCATCACAAAACGACCGCCAGCGGCGCCAGTCATCATCAACATCAGTCGCATCACCATCATCACCCCCACGGTCAAGTGCAACCGCCATCCGAACAGACGACACATCTGCAACAGAAATACGATCCTCAGACACCATATCACGCAGCATACGGCGGAGGCGATAGTACGACGGATACATATCATCACAAGAGGTCGCCACACGCCAAAACGACGGGAGCATCAGGAGAATACCATCAGCAGCAGCATCATCAGCAGCAACAACAACAACAGCACTACCAGCAGCAACACCAACAACCGTACCAACAATACCCCTCACAACAGCCCATCACGGCCACCACAATCTCAAGCTGTTCGTCGCGGCCCCTGACACAGCAGCACGACGATAGCTGTGAGGAGTTCCATCACATCCCGTTCAATCTCAGCTATTTCCAGCGCAAAAGAATGATGGTGAGCAAATTGTGGAAAGGCTGTTTCCCGGATGTCACCCCGGAACATGTGCACCGACACAATTTCTATTTGTGTCAATGGCAACGGAATACCCAGGTGCGAATTATCTATCTTTTCTATCGTTGGATTACGGCGATCATTTGTTTGGCGGCATTGGTCTGTTCGCTACTGGATATCGGTCGGACAGATGAACATTTTGAAAATCATTATGCCAAATGGTGGATATATTTGACACATTGGGGTCTGTTGTTTTGTACGGTTCAGGCATGGTTGGCGGCAATGATTGTTACGCAGGGTATGATGGTGGAGAGGGAGGATTTTGAATTGATGCGTCAGGCGAAAAAGTCGAAGCTGCATTATCTCTATTGGATCATATATACATGTGCGACGGTTTATGCTTTTATAATAACGATGTGTTATTGGTTGCTGGTTCATGATCCGGGTAAGTTTTGGGAAATTTGTATTTAATATTTTCTGTTGCATACCTTTAGGCGTATATTTGCCCTTATAAATTATTTTTAAAAAGCCACGCCTTGTTAGGCTCCCTTAAAATAATTTTTAAAAAGCCACGCCTTGTTAGGGTCCATTAAAATTAATTTTTAAAAATCCACGCGTTGTTTAGGTCAATTTTTTTATAATTCTCACTTCTATTTTCAAAATTCTTTAAAATATTGTAATTTATTATACATAACCTCTCAAAAAATAATAAATCCTCCCCTTTTGATTTACATATAAATTACACCATTATGATAGTTTAGTTTCCCTTTCATGTCCGACGCACACACACATACCCAAACACACATAAGACATTTTGCCAATTATCTCCTGAAAAAGTCCAATCCAATTAAAATGTCATGTTTTTTTGTTGTTGTTCAAAACGTATGCAGAATTCTAATAACTATGGGCCTCCGTCAGCCAGTCACCCACCCATTACTTCGGGAGGTTGGTGGTGTGCGAACTATTTTTAAACATAATCCGGTCAACATAGATTTTTATACCATACCACAGGACAATAGAAAGTAACCTATAAAAAAATACTCGGAACTTGAAGACAATGTACCAATTGACGACCACCTACACACGCTCACATATCTACGTACATGTGCTTACTGACACACTGCTAATTGCCACTTTCGATGTCCATAGAATAATTCAAAAGAGTTTTTGTAATTACTTTTTGTCACATTGTTTTTATGGGTTATAAAGGCAAAGAAGAAGCAGCACAATCTTCTGATGACGTACATACATGGTTGGCCGTTACTAACAGTTTTCCTCCTTTCCCTCTCTTTGATTTTCCCATTTTACAGAAGTCCACAAGATCGACACATTGAACATTATGGTACATGTCTTGAATTCGGTTATAATGCTCATCGATTTGGCCATTGTCGGACATCCAATTAAATTGAGCCACGTCTACTTTACCACTGGCATTGGTTTGGCTTATGCCATATTCACGGGAATTTACTTTTTGGCCGGCGGCACCGATAGGTAAGTCACATCAATCAAATATCTCATTAGATAAGGGTCCTGATGCCGTTCTTTTATTTCACAGGAAAAATGAAAAAGCCATTTATCCCATGCTCGACTGGAGGAAGCCGGGCAAGGCCATTATTGTGACCGTGTGTGCCATCATCTTTGTATTTGTGGTGCATTTTCTGTGTTTCCTGCTGTACCGGGCCCGTGTCTGGCTCTTCACCAAACTCTGTATACGCAGTTCGCATCATCGTCGTCGCGATGGTGACATTTGTGAGGGTCTCAACGATGATTCATGTGCCCGGCTGGGCGGTGGCAGTAGTGCTGATTATTCGCATCAGCAACAGTTCCCAACAATTGTACACTCGGAACAGCCACATCGTACACATTTGTCGGTGGCCACCAGTGCAGCAGCTACACAGCCACAGCCAACGACCGAACATTTGTATGCCAATGCGCCAAGTCATCATGGTGGAGGCAGCACCACCAGCCATCATCATCAACAGCAGCAACAGTCGTCGCATCATCATCATCAAAGTCATCATACACCGCATCAGTATCCACCCCAGTATTCGGGATATCAGCAACAACCTGTTGTGGCCGGCGTCAATGTGGGTGTAATTAGTTCGGCTGATATTTATCAACATCAGTCGCATCAGCAGCAACAACAACAGCAGCAGCACCATCATCAGCAACAGCCACATGATAACAATAATAAACAACAACAACACAAAAGTGGTGGAGGTGGTGGTGGCTCATCAAGTGTTGGTGGTGGTGTAACTGGCGGTGGCGGTGGCAACTCATCGAATTCCGCCTTATCACGCACTGTCTCCCACTTGGATGCATCACAACGTGAACAATTCCTAAATCCCAATCAAATTGTGGAATATAAAATGTAAAGACGTTGTACCCGGCACCGATATACCTTCAATTTGTCCATGAAATTTCTCGAAAAACATTGTCCCCAATGTCAGGCGTATAGGGAGCAGGCCCAGCTAAGCGATGAGGGCGATGGTGATGACGAAGAGGCTGCCGGTAATCATAGATGTAGTGAATCGAAAAAATTGGAGTGTGGAGAGAAGAAGTGTTGTTAGGAAATTTTAAAGGGAACCGGTTTGAACTAGAAAACTTCACAGTAATAGATTATTTTTAAAATATATATAAAAATTTAGGTGGATTTGTAACCTAAAAAGTATTTTTGTTGCTTTATTGTTTTTATATTAAGACAGTTGTGTCTCCTTGAGTGAGAAAATAATTTATATCTCTTAACCCTATAACCCTATACTTCTGGCACCTCAAAAGGCATTCTTCATATAGAGATTATATCAAAAATATTTATTTTTATAACACTGTGATGGTTATTATATGTATGGTGAACCTGGTATTTTGATCAAAATCAAATTTCTCAAAATACATTCCAGTATCACCAAGTCCCCTGATAGGATAATTATTATAAAATGTATTGTATTTAACCAAAATGAAATATCTCAAAATAGCTTCTGATATATAAAAAGAAGTCCCGTGGAAGGATCTCTATTAAATAATCTAATGTATACCTCTCAAAAACAATATTATAATTGTAAACCTCTCATGATGGCCTCTAATGTGAAGATGGTCATCCAAAAGCTTCTCAATATATAGGAGTGTCTTTCAAAAATAACAAATTCCTTCTTTTGAATTTGCATATAAATTACATAATTATAATCGTTTACATTTTTAAATATGTATTCCAAATGATTAGCTATATAAATATATATATTTTTTTGTTTCTAAAATATTTTATATAACATTAAAAAATATATTTATTATTTTTAATTTAAATTATTTGTAAACTTATTTATAAAAGTTATTTCAGTATTATTTATTTAATTTTTTATTAAAATCTAATATATTTATTATTATTTTTTTAATTTAATGAATATAATTAAGTATTTGTAATGAAATTACTTATTTTTTATATCATTAAAAATCAATTGTGAAGTTCAGTTTTTAAATTGTAATTTTAAATAGTTGAGTATCTGCAGCCCTAACTTACGAATGCTTATTATAATAAATATTTCACGCAAGCTATAATCGGAACAATATTGTTCTACTTATGTGAATCCTTCTATCTCTAGACCCATAGAAGAGCAGTCCCTATTTCCATGAGATTTTTATCTAAATAAGACCATTTAGAAAGAATATAGGTTCTTTCAATATTTCTCTCCCTTGCTAAAGTTCTTCAAAAAATTTTTTCAAAATTTCAAAACATTTTGAACTTCTAAATCGAGTGTATAGGCAAGGATTATATTATATTCTTAAATCCTTTTTTTTATAGTTCGAAATGTTTGTTTACGATCATATACAGAAGAAAATCTTAGTGGTATTCTATTTATATAATTCTCTAATCAAATCTTCATGAAGCGGTTTTAATGTGTAGATGATCCCGACATCCATTAAAGCATCTCTATATTTCCATGAAAGCCTTTCCTTTTGAGAATTAATTTTCAAATTAAGTTTAGTTATTGGAGTTGTCCATGTACTGTGGTTTTTGGAATCGTTCATTGCCTCTTGGACTAGGTCCTAGTTAATGAAAAATGAATTGAATTAAAAATGTTCGAAAAAATCTTCGTAAAGATATTCTACCTATATAATTTGATTCTTTTGTATTTCATATCATTTTTTTTAATTTAATGGATATATATAATTTTCTTTTGAGGCTTTCACCATATCAGGGTTACAACATCCATGGACGCCTTTCAAAATGGTATTCTTTTTGTAAAAGACCTTTGAAATTAAGTTTTATTATTGGAAAAATATTGGAAGACAGAAAAAACGTTCATAGGTTTCGAATTTTATAGAAATCGAAGTTATATAGAAATCCGCTTCATAGCAATTTTTTTATAGAAAATATGTTAATGGACTCTCAAAACATAATAATTTTATCTATGGCCTTTAAATGGTGGGTAATTTTACTTTCGTATAGAAAAGTATTAACATTAAGCATCGATGATCTTGAAATATCGAAAATCTGTCACTTTTAAAAATAAAAAGCTTTGAAATGTTTCCATTGAAAAATCTAATATCACAAGGCTCTCTCGAAATATTACAATTTTACCCACGACCTTTAAATAGCTAATTATTTTTACATAGTCTCTTGATGATATTGAAATATCCGAAATCTTCCTTTATTAATGCTTGATGAGGTAACCCAAAGGATAGTCTCTCTTAGGTTTATTCCACCATAAATCAATAATTTCTTAAGTCTCAACAAATCCTATTTTGTAATCAAACGATATTAATAGTACCCAAATCGAAGAGGCTGTGTGTAGGTTTAGACAAATCCTTGGAGAATTTGAAAGTAATTAAGTTTAGTAATAATAAATTTTATATTTGGATCTATTTATTTATTTATATTTGGATTTATGAATCTCTATTTACATTGAAATCCTTTCTATATGTCCTTGGAATACTTCTTAACTGATATTCATTCTATAAAAAATTAAAAGACTTCTTTTTGAGGCTCTGGAAAGACATCAGCCCATCATTATACATAAGTTCCACAATCCCGATATTATAATTAGACGATGATAATAGTCCTCTAATCCAAGAGGCCGTGTGTAAATTTAGACAGATTCCAGAAAAAGAAACCTTGTAGGGTTTTCAAATTCTTTAAACGTTCCTGGACTTGAAAATGATTTAATGTTAATATTTTGATCTGTGGATCTCTACATAGATTGAAAGCATATCAATATGTCCTTCGAATACTCCCTATATTTATATACATTCTATAAAACAGATTTAAAATAAAAAGAATTCCTTTGAGCCATTTGAAATACATCTGAAATCTATAATACACCTTTCAAATTAGAAGACTTTCTTTTGAGACTTTTGAAAGACATGTAAAACATCGGAATGACTTAAAATATAGCATGTCCTAGGTTCAGTCCATCATATTACTGTCTTATGTTCAGATGATGGTCGAAGAGGCTGTGTGTAGGTTTAGACAAACTCATGAAAACTTAACCTTGTGTGTATTTCAAATTTTATGAACATTCCTGAACATGAAAAAATTAATTATTAATATAACATTCAAAACATTTCTATATATCCTTGGAATAATAAATAAGATAAATTCTATAAAATCCCTTTTCAAATTAGCTTTTATCATCCGAAAACTTCCTATTTTTTTTATTTTTTTTTTAAATCGCTGGTCTTTAATCACTGGTCTTTAATCGCTGGTCTTTAAAATTAAGTATCCATAATGCTTGATAATTTAGTTCCTTGGGTCGCTCGAATGCAATAGAAATCTAAATAACATCTAGAAACCTCCAACATTAAATATTCAATTAATTACTGTGAAGTTTTTTAATTTATTAAAAAAACTACAACTAGAAATTTCATGGACATTTTGATAAGAGAAAAATTATATATTTTTCTCTCTCTCTATCTATCTTCTACTTCTCTCTCTCTATTTCTGTCTTCAGTATTTATTTGTGTTTCTCAACAAAAAAACCAAACACAAATTATTATAGTCTGATATTTATGATGATTATTGGAACAACAAAAACATTATAAAAAAACACTATTAAAAATTATATTTAAGTTTCAATTAGATTTTGTAAAAGGACAAAAAGGTAGCGGAATTTCAAAATTAAAAACAAACAAAAAAACTCCCCTAGACAAGAAATGCAATTTAGTATATATAAAAAAATGAAGCTGCTTTATATTTTAGTTTTAGTTAATCGAATAAAATTAGTTTCCCTAAAACACAAAACAGCTAACTGGGTGTTTAAATTAGGCAACTTAGTTTGACAATTTAAGTTTAAATTTAAAACTGATATACAATTGAGTTTTCCTATAGCAAAAAAAAAGCAACAAACTTAGTATCGGTGCAAGGGGTGTATTATTAAAAAAACAAAACAAAAATTATATAGATTACATTTATAAAAAATATATAAAAATTAGAAATATATATTTAAGTTGATAAAAAAAATTGAAAAGAAATCACATGAGTCACACACTCACATATATATATTTTTAGTTTTAAATGTAAAATTAGCTTAAAGCCATTGGTGTTTGAATATTGTATTTATATTTTTTTAAAATGATGATGATAATGATGACAAACAAACAAATTCAATGAGTAACAAAAAACAAAAGTAATTTTTTGTATTGTATTCATAATAATAATTTGAAGAAGAAGAAAACATAAAAATTAAAAAAAAAACACACAACAACATAACTTGTTACACACTAAAATATTATATATAAAAAAACAATGATGAATTAATTTCCTTACAAAAGATCTACAAGATCTAGAAAATTATTCACCAAAAAGTGGAAAATTAATAAATAAATAAACCAAAGGCAAAACCACATAAACTAAAAGCGAATTATATATTTATACCAAAAAAATATAATAAAAAACACATTTAAACAAAAAAATAAATAAATATAAAATGACATAGCATACAACAATTTAGTTTAAGTTAATAATTTAGAATATGAAAAAACACACACACACAAAATAAATTATATTATAATAAATCCCTTTAAAACAGTATTATAATATTACATATACACAGAAAATAATAATTAAATTAATTATAAAAGAATAATGTTGCAACACAATATAACTAAATTGATAATAAAAAAACAATAACAATTTTATTTCAATTATTAAATAAGAAATAGAAAATTCCAAACATATATTTTTAACATTCCCAAAATATAAAAAAGAAATTAATTTTTGTTTTAAGTTTGAAAATTTTTTTTTTGTAGTTTGAAGAAAATAGTTCTTTTAAAGTAATTACGAATTTATTTTATTGTTTTTATTTTGTATAGATTTTTAATATTTATTTTACAATATTTTATACATTTATATTTCAATTATCATTCATAAGATGAAATTTATTTGAATAGAATTTCAATTATTAAACATAGAAATAAAAAATTTCAAACATCTATGTGAAGTAATATTTTAAACATTCCCAAAATATAAGAACAAATTTTATTTTTGTTTTAAGTTTTAGA